GAGAGAGAGAGAGAGAGAGAGAGAGAGAGAGAGAGAGAGACGCACGCGAGGATTGATCGCACGAATGATTTATCGGGGAAGTGCGTTGCCAAGTGATAACTAATTCTAGAGAGCGGATGTTTCCCTCTCCGAAATCCGCTTTATTATATATACATATACGATATCTGCTGGATAGATTGAATTATTATTACAGCTCGAGGATAATAAATTTTTATTTGCTTGGACGTAGCGACTAATTGGATGCTGCATTGAGCGTTAATTGACCATCCATTAACGCTAAATTCGAACAAATATATCATCTTACTTTCGACTTGCGAACAATTACAATTCCATCGAAAGCGTCGCATTTACATTAAATGCATCTCTGCGTAATTTCACAAATTATTATCGCTTTTAAAGGCAAAATTATGTGTTTCAAAATATTGTTACAAGCAATTAGTCTGCGATTCTCAAGCGAAGGACGGGATGCATAAAATTGTGCATAATTCATGTATGCTAATATTTTCTGAAAGAGACAACTAATTAATAATTTATGAGAACGAACTGTATACACGCAGTTGCGATCGCGCGAATGATTTTCCTACGCTGAAGCACTTTTGGCTGGTGATGTTGTTATGTGAGAGAACTTTCGCGAAGTTCGTGCAACCAAGATATTAATGGATGGGCGGATGGACAGATAGCCCTTAAGAGATGTGTGTGTGCGTGCGTGTGTGTGTGTGTGTGTGTGTTTATACATATATACATATAAAACAATGGTGCGCGCGCGCGTGCGTGCACACACGCAACACATACACATACACATCAAATTGGAACGAAATGGTGGGAATCAGATTTCCGAGTGTGGAATATCTCATTGCAATGCGAAATTCGAGAAACTGATTGTGAGGTCGAAGCATGCCCGTATTGCTCGAAAACGTATTGGTCTATTTCGGTATGCATGCGTATGTACATTGATATGTCATGCCTTGTAACGAGATAAATTAGTCGCCTTTTGTCATATTAGTTGTTCGTTGGTTTAATAACTTGTATAACAATCATGGTAAGTATCTTGGCTTTGATGATTGCGATTAAATTTAATTTAAATTATTAATATCTCTTAATATATATCGCTTATTTACAACAACGACATAACTCAACAATTGTCGTTTTCTAGTTGATTGTAAAAAAAGAAATATATAGGCACTTTAAAGGAGAATGTACTTTTATTCCTCTATCAATTATTAGAATTATCAAAATTACATTTTAAGATTGATGATATTTCAAAATTTTTATGATTCAAAATATTCACACTTTTCTGGTCTTCGTATTCTGAGTTGTGTCGTGGTGTAGAAAATGAGCAATATAAATATATATATAGATATATATTGTCTCTACCACACATTTATTGACTATACGACGAGTTACTTCAGTGACTTCTTGAGTCCCTTTGACGTCGCGTAGAATTCGTATTTTATCTTCGAATAAAATCTGTTTTCTCTACCTTTATATACACTTTTACGTTGCAATAAAATTTTTGAAAGCTTGTTCCAGGTGGTTTCTATAGAAACCAACGAAATAAAATAATTTTTGTTAAAAAGTTGAATAGTTTCTTTAAGTCTCTTAACTTCTAAATTATTTGTTCTGCGAATAACGCGAATATGAACGTATAATACTAGAGTTCACACACACACACACACACACGTAGTAAAATTTGAAGTGACACGCTGAAATCAGGGGATATTTCCGCTTACCTTGTCCGTGGCATCTAGCACGATCCGCGGGATGTTTGCAAGCGCCGTGATTACCGCCGGATGTCCGGTGATGGCTGCATGATGAAGAGCAGTCGCCCCCGTGCAATCGGTTGCCTCGCCGTTTAACGATTCCACTGCTTCCGCGAGGTATTCCACCACGGCTACATTGCTACCGCGGGCGCCGCACATTAAGAGGGTGTGCTGTTTCTAGACAGAAAGAAATCCGTTACATTCCGTTATAAAGGGAGGATTTTTGCTGAGGGGAACTCGCGACTTTTATATATACTGTAATGTCTCTCGTAATTTCAATCCGCAAAGGAAAATAAGGATCGCTGTGGCCTTCATATCGATTCACTTATATATTTCACGTCTCTCTCTCACTTTCTTCGTATCGGCACGCGCGTAATAAAATTCTACGCGACGCGCCCCGTGAGGGGGACACCCTGAATGAAAGCGCGCGCCTATTTAGGACTGACGCTTGATATCAATATTGACACGTTATTGATTTCCCCGGCGACTTATTTCACTTTTTTTTTTCACGACCTCCGCGAGATTTCTGCGTTCACCTTTTTCTTTTTATACGATATTTTCCGCGATCAATAAACTCCAATTAAACGTACGATTTAATCCTGCAGCCAACATGTTCCGCAAATTTCCGACGATTAAAAAATTTTTTGCGTTATTTAAATGGAGTTTTCTCGTTATCTAAATAAACTTTTCACGCAAGCACGATTATTATTGCAACATGCTGCGGAAGTTTCGCAGATTTCACGGCGACTCTCGACACTTGCGAAGTCGTGCTCAAGGAACAGCTTGAATTTACATTCACTTGAAATATTCAATGTAGTGAAATATGAAGTTGTTAAAGGACATACCTTGTTAATCGCGGATACATTTGCTCCGGCATTGATCAGCATCTTCACCGCGTCCCGGTGCCCGTGCTGGGCGGCCATATGTAAGGGTCGCATTCCATACTTGAAAGAGAAATGAACAGCCCGGAAATTAATGTTCGACGTGGAATTTCATCAAGCCGGTCCGCCGGTCTAGATTAAATTCCGAAAGAAGTGTCGCTCCAAAAACATATTAATGTTGCGTAATAAAGTAACCATTTATCAATCGCTACTACGTTTACTTTAATTTCCTATGTGGAAGCACTCGGGGATATTAAATCTAGAGGCTCCATTTATTTTTTACGTGCAAGAAGTTTTTCTCTTTTACGAAGAAATGTTCATATTACTACTTTGCCGTCCCAATTTACAGTCATTTAATGAACCGTCTCTCTCTTTAACGGCCTGTAATTAAAACAAAGAAAAGAAGAAGGAAAGTATACCTTATCTCTCGCTTCGATATCGCATTTGGCTTGCATCAACATCTCAATAATTTCTGTGTTTCCTCGAGACGCTGCCCAATGAATCGGAGCGCGACCATACTAAGAGAGATAACAAACATTAGAGAAGCGATTATCGCTCCTAATAACGTCAATTACAGTTTTGTCAAAAAATAAAGTGGACGTTAAATTGAACGGAGGAATAGCGTTTCATTATAAATCTTCAAGTATTTTTAATGACTTACATTATTTCTGGAATCTACGTCGACAGTCTCCTTAAGTACTTTGCGAACCGTGTCCGCTTCGTTCTTTATCACAGCCTCGTGTAGAAGAAGATCATTCTTAAGGACTGAAAAAAAGATATAATACAGAAAAAGATATAGACTAAATAATGAGCACTTAAATTATTTACTAAATATAAAATATTGTACTTTTATACAATTGGAAAATTGAGGTGTATCAATTGTTTTACGATATTAAATCAATTTTGAGATAGAATTATTACAAAATCATTTTGTTTGAAATTTTATCGAAGTATGTTAAATAACTTTTCCAGCGTAACGTTTTTCGATCTCTTTGCACTGTTCTTTTTTTATGAAATACGTCAAACTATTTTCTATAGAATATAAATATACGTGGATTAATTTTTCCATTCTTTTTTTACTGGTTTTGCGAAATATGTCGAATCATATTTTCGATACAACATGGATGTACACGGGATTAATTTCTCCATTACTTTTTAACGGTTTTTGCGAAAGTAGGATCTCTCGAACGAGAAACGCGAAACAGTATACGGATTCAATTAATTCGCGTGCGCGTTACGGGCTTTTTATTTTAACTTCCGACGGTCACGTCGTGGCGCACACGTGCTGTCGTTACCGCTCCACACTGTTTTTTATAATTTCGGTCCGCACGGATATCGATCGTGTGTGCAATTGAGGCGAAAGGAAGGAAGGCAGGCGGGGCATGAAACACGCGAGTGTATTCACAGTGTGTCGTTAATTAGTTGAATTGCTGATTTTGTGAATGTCCGATGCAAATTGAATATCTTTTTATTTCCGTGCGTTAATGGACTACATGAGCTACAAAAGCAAAACAGGAAGACATACAAAAAATTGTTTAATTACCAAAAGTAATTATTATTTCTCTCTCTCTCTCTCGCTTTTTTTTTTTAATAAACAGACCGAGCATGAGCAAATGTATACACGGCATCTTTTTCAAAGAATTATCTTTATTTCGTCTCTGTGCACAAGATAAAAGGAAGTGATTAAAGTCTTAGTAGTGCATTATTATATTATTATTGCTTCTAATACATAATGGTTTTTGTTTCATTAAACAATAAATTTATATATGTATAAATACATGTGTATATTTGAAAATTTCGTTCATCATCAAAACTCTCTGTTGTCTTGATACGGTGAATGATCGTAAATCATTGCACCGCGGAAACGAAAAATTGTTCGATTTGAAGAAAGCGGAAATTGCGGAAGAACCAATCAGTTAAAAGAAATCCAGGCAATTCAGTGACTTCACAATGTGTGAGTGGTTTCTCCGGCTTTACCGTAAATCTTAGAAAATGGAAAAATGTGAATTTCGCTCCTACACTCCTCATATATTCACATTTTACCTGGGATTGCCGAGACAGCTTTAAATCTTTGTACGCTCCGTAGCACATTTTGTATGAGAGGCAGATGCGGTACTTTACTCACTTCTAGCAGTCTTTTGGTTCAGCACTTCATCCTCGATCGCCTCGCTGAGATTCAGCGGCGGTGGCGGGGCCTTCGCCTTCGTTATTCTCAACTCTTCCTTGTCCACCATATTTCACTGTCGCTGTTCTGAGCCTAGCATTGTCATCATTCTGAGCCCGGTGATCGCGGCTGCCCGGTCGTTGTGCGACGTTAATGCACCTGGGTTTCCGTTCTACTGCTAATTATCAACGACCTAGAAAGCCAAACGATGATGAGCCGCCTACGATTATTATGGTCGAAGTCACAAGTTTGAAAGAGATCAAAATCGCTACAGTAAATTGCTGGAGTTTTGGAACAAAAAAGGAACTTAATGTGACGATATATTTGGATTATATATTCAGAGATATATTTGAATTGAAGAACAATACAATTAAAAGATATTGCGTGAAGTTATGATTTAATTTATGATGCAAATTATTGTATGGCAGACTATGTATAGACCTAATGGCGCCTGTTTCCCTGATTTATTTGAAAGATAAGTTGAAATACGACGACAGTTTATTTGTCGTCGGCTTATCAGTGTTGCAGGTGTTAATTCATTATGTCCACCAATTATCAGAAATATTCTGAGTGCTCGTTACACGGAATTGGAATTTCCGTCTATTAAAACTTGCATATATCTTGTGCAATTACCGCTTGTAGCCGGCGAAGTACGTCAATGACGAATGAATTAATCACGAGTTTTCTCATTCTATATTTCAATTTGTCGCGTTTTGAATTTTCCCGTTTTATCGCGGTGAAATCTGTTATTACAATTTGCTGTGCGTGCGGTCGCAATATGGTTAGGACGAATAATATATGTTACGTCGGAGCTTGTGGTTAGCGGAGTACAATATATATATTTCATGAATGATAATTAATTCACTCATAAATTATAATTTTCATTATTATATCAGAGACACACTATGACACTAGATTTGATGCATTTACATACATTTTAATGGCTCAAATTAATCAACTCCACAAATTATATTTATGTTTCCAAATATTAAGGCATTTTATGTTGTTTCTCAATAATTAGCATTCACTGAAATTAATACGAAAATATATTAAAGATACAATATATAATCTCATAAAGATAAAACAACATTATAGTTAATCAGTAATTGTGTAATTGTTCCATTGTTTCGGATTTTTTCTGATTTTTTTAACGCTTATTTTGTATTCCGCGGTGAGTTACAAACAATCCATTTTCGTAATTCGATATTCGTTTAACGCAGTTACATTGCACATATTTACTCGACTGCGAATTTTCTCGGAGTTGATTATACAGTAATATTTGTTTTATCATTGCAGAACCAGAGTCCCATAGAGAGAGAGTGAGAGAGAAAGAGAGAGAGCGAGAGAGAGAGGGGGGAAGGAAGGAGAGAAAGAGGAAGGAGAGAGAGAGAGAGAGAGAGAGAGAGAGAGAGAGAGAGAGAGAGAGAGAGAGAGAGAGAGAGAGAGAGAGATCGCAATAGCAGAAATGTCTAAATTTTCTCTACATTAGTCAGCTACACTGTAACAAGAAAAGCTTCCCTATCTCCTTCTCTTGCGACGAGGCATCTCCGCACTTTGCTTAATCCTCTACTCTCCGTTTTATCTCTTTGACGTTTCTAAGCGTGTGCTATTTTGTGGATAAATATAGATATTTAAATGAAAAACGTTAGCTTTACGGACGTCCTAATATTATTAGTTTTGTACGCATTACATTTTTGCACGTTTAAATTGAAATTGCACGTTAAATTAAATAAACAAATATTGTTTTATAAGGACCAGTTAGTAAGATTAATCAGAGAAAAAACTCAATCGTTCTAATCGAATCTGCCGATATTAAAAAATTATCATACATTTCTTGTCTCTTAAAATCGTATAAAAATTTTCTACTTTCAAAGATATATTTATTTGAAAGAAAATCGAGTGATCGCGCGTTGCAAGCTTATTATATACGAGTACAACAAATTTTTTTACCATGCAATTTGAATTGTGAATTTCCGGAGTGAATTATATATATGGGACATTTAACGCCACAGACATATTCGGTATATCGCTCACCCGAATATGCATGTGGCGAATTATACATTAATTTCGTTGATTGAGTTACCGCATGGTTTCCGTTATATCTCCAGCGGCACTTGCGGCAGTATGTCATAAATTTAGCAGTATTTCGTAGTTGAATCAGATCTTCACGGAAGCCGCGGAAACTTCAATAATCACGCTCAAACGGGAATGGAAATTATGTATGTATATCAAACATTTTTACATCTGTCAGGTAGAGATCGCAGATCGTTAACGGCAAGTCGCGTTATCTTCGTTCACAACTATATTTCCCGCTGTTTAATTAAGTTCCGCCTCTCATACTTTATTCTGGAATATAGATGTGTTAGCATGATCGTGATATGTGCGGAATACGTGTCGTTCAATGTCTGCTAGCAGACATTGAACGACAACATCCTTCGCTGTGAAGCGGAATACAATGTATTTGAATAATTTACTTCATCTTCAATACAATGTACATATTTATAATATTAGTATAACGTATAATATTAGAAATATATATGATATAATATTAATACTATAAATAGTATTATATATAATAGAATATTCTCTTGTTTTTAATTTTCTAATTCAATAAAGAATATTCTCGAGAGAATCTGCAGCAGAAAAGCGCGCCGACGGGTTACTCTCCGGGTGTCTCTCCGAATTGCAGAATATATCTCATTGTACGTATGTCACTTGGGAAAATGCGCTTTTATCTATAAGACATTCATTAGCATTGCAAGTTACGGACTGCCATCTGTTTTTAATGATCGATTGTGCCCTGGCTTTACTATCGTGCCGCGCCGCTGAAGTTTATCGTTGTAATCCTATTTAATCCGATATTGCCGAAACTTGTGAAAGTTCTGCATTTGTTTAATCTTGTATGACTTCTCGGATACTTCCATTTCTCACTGTTACAAAGTAACTCGATACATCTCGGCTTGTTGTTGTTATAGTATATACAAACAGATTTAAATATTCAATATTGTAGATATTACTTACAATATATGTATATATAAAATATATATTTACGAAATATATATTTACAAAATTAATCTAAAAATATGATATATACATGACACAGAAAATTATGTTAATTTTTTCTATCTTCTCTGTTAAATTCTGAATATACATAATTATTTAAAAATTGTTATATGGGACATCATAGTTAAGATTATATTACTATATTAGTATTATATTGAGAGAGAATTTTAGCCTTGTATTATGTATAATTTAAAAGAATTGTTTTGTGGTAAAATAAATGAAGAAATAAATTTCTCTCGTTACGTGTATTTATTATACAGACATAATATTACTTGCCATTTATTTTGTTGTCCCGAGACTGTTCCATTATCCGATGCATCGCATGCTATTGTACATTTCATGGCTACATGCGATCAGAATGTCTTTTCAGCTAGTGGCGTGTTGTTTCGTTAATAATGTAATATCAGGGACGATGTTTCTGTTTCCTGATCATCCGCAACACGCATTCATCAGCGTATTGAAAAGTAAATGTGCGATCTATGCAATGTAGTAAACAAAGCGACATAAATTACTGTCACTGAGGCCTCTCTCGGATTATAACACTTTGTTATTCGAGCTTTAGATTGAAAGTATCATTTAACTGTAATATAACAACCCTTTTATCATTAGCTTAAAAAGCAGAATTCCAAAATAACAATTACTTTATAGCAAATTCAAGTTGATACATGATACATTTTAAAGATATTGACAATCAAATCAAATATTTTAAATAATAAAAAAATAAAATAGTAAGAAAAAATAAAGAAATAAAGACTTGTATATACTGCGATTTATAAGTTTTGAGACAAAAATCGTATAAAATAAACAACACATTAAGAAAATATTTTCAATATTTTTTTATTTCAAATAGAATCCTTCACAATCAATATATTGCTCTGTTCTCAATATTTTTTTATTTCAAATAGAATCCTTCACAATCAATATCTTGCTCTGTTCTCGTTTTCAATCTTTGCATCGCTGAATACTCCTCTTTCGTAATTGTCTTCAGTTGGCTTCAGTCACAGGATTGAATTTCTGGAATATCGTCGAATAACTCAAAAAATATCGTATAGTCTTAGGTATATCCGCCATAATCCTCCGTAATATTACTCAAGATTATTTTTTGTTTTCAAAATGGAAGTTACAGTTGAAGTTGAAAAACGAGGTTCGATATTCCAGAATTTTTAATCATTGTGATGGCTGTGATCGATTAACTGAAGACGATTAGAAAAAAGAGTACTTAAAAGCGATGCAAAGATTGAAGATGAGAGTAGAGCGGTGTATTGATCGATGTAAAGAAAATTCTATTTCAAATAAAACATGCTTAAAATGAAATTTTTTCAATATGTATTCTTTATTTTATATAATTTTTATCTTAAAACTTATGGATCGCACTGTGTAAATTGAAAGTCCGATTTCTTTTGCATTAATTGTAAAAAATTCAGCACTAATCATTTATCTTATTCATAGGTATGTGTAAAAAAATGTTATTAGTGAGAACTAGGTATACATAAGACGCAGTTGATACTTCCAAGAGATTTTATATCTCACAAACAGTATCTTTGAAATGCAATTCTAAGATACTTTATTATTTGCAAACTTACAAGTCGCATTAACGTTTTATCTTGTCAATGAGATAAGTGCAGTTATTAAATTAGCAAAACAAGCAGCAGGCAAACATCCAGTAAATCTATTTCATAAATCTCTATCGTCGAGAGAGAGAGGCGTTTCCTTGAAATATATTATCTCCAGCCGCCACCATTTTTCATATTTTATCGTCGTAGGTGTATATGTCGACATTTTTCTCTAAAGAGTCAAAGCGGACGAGACGCTATAAAGAGAATTTCACTTCTTCGTTTCTTTCTGAAACTTTTTCTGACATTTTCGTCTTTTTTCCTGTTAACGTCCCGTCTAAAATCTCGCTGTTGCATTTATGCATTTTGTTTTATGAGACATGTATTGTACTAGTAAAGAAATATTTTTTGTAGCATGTGTAATGAAATGCACTCGTTTGAGAATTTTTCCGGAGAGAAAAACGGGATAATAATATGATTGCGCCGCGGTGTATTAATTATTTTTCTCCGCAAAGTTGTGTCACATGATATTTTATTTTTGGGTGAATTTATCAATATTATATGTAATGTGACAACT